TTTGTGTTTTTTTTGTTGGGTTTTTTGTTGCATGGCTTGCCGCCCCCAACGCCTAGCGACTGGCCGGCAACTTGGACAGCCAGTCGGGGCTAGTGCAGGCGACTATACTCATTCAAATTTTTTTTTTGGAAGTACGAAATTACCTAATTTAATTAAATAAAACAACTTTCTTAAAAATTTGTCCTGTAGAAGCTTTTTGCATTGGTGATGATAATTTCTTTCTAAAATAGACTAACGAGTGTGTGTTTTGTATTAATACTGCTTTAATAGCAATCCCTAAAGCATCAGTTTCTTAATGATTTCATGACTAAGAGCTGCAAATGTCTATTGGGCTTGTTCGATCCACTAGAATTGATCTTAGTTTATAGAGATGTCAATGGTGTAGCAATTGTAGCATAGCTTTTGAACAAAGTTTTTTGTAATATCCCATTAATCCCAATAAACCCCTTAATTGTTTGTGTAGAGGGCATTCACCATTGTTGCACTGCTTCAATTATAAATTAACTCTATATATTAATTTTACTTCAAAATCTTTGACGGGTCTATTTCTATCCCTCTTTCTAAAATGATGTGGCCCTGATTTTTTACTCTCAAGCTTTCCTCTTTTCATGTTGCAGTGGCTCACATTGATGATGGCCTGAAAATTATCAGGCTTCCAACAATTTTATTTTCTTACGAATCTCAACATTGATTTGTCCTCTATCTTGAAGCTTATAATTTTAGAGGATCATAATCTCCATCTGTATATAACAAAAGGGATCATCAGCACAGGTTTTCTATTTCTAAAACAACTCTGAATATAACTAATTTTGTGTACATTAATATACATGGTAATACTGTTTTTCAATTTGACTGATTTTGTACTTTCAAGTTTTCTTATGCTCATCTTGCAGTGGCAGACAATGAAGATGGCCTAAACCATTATCAGAAAACTATCTTTTTTTCTATTTTAGGGACGAGAGGACTTCTAGAAAGCTGCTTTTATGTTTTTGATGAACTCAAAAATGATTTGGTATCCCGTCTGCACATATTTGAACACGTGCTTCTTTAGTTTGTATTTGACTACATAAGATTAGTAACTATCCATTGTCAGGTTGCAATGCCATGGATTTTGTTGTTGCTGGTGTTGTCTTTATATTAATCTTCACCTAGAAATGCAATTATATTGACCCTTTGTATGGCAATTATTCAAATTTGTTATATACATAACTTCAGATGTTCCAAACTTTCTTTGCTGCTTTAGCTTCTTTCATTCCAGCTGATGGATCCACAATTAGGGAATTGGGCAAATGCTCCTACTGATAGTATGACTGCAGATTATATTTGAAAAAAAGAAACTTGTGATGGTGGCATGATAGATTGATAGTTGATGGATTTTACTCCTCCCTTGAGGTGTTCAAATATGTCTGGTTCATACTTCTTATTCTTACTCGAAGAAAAGGAAAAGTGCTCAACAAGCTTTTTCTTTTTATTATTCTAAGTAGAAATTACATGAGTGTGGGCGGTGTCGCTACAACATTCAAATTAGAAATAAAAGAGCAAAGTTTGGTGCAATGTTTGTATTTACCACACCAAGTGCCCCATTGGACGCCTCGGCGGTCTCTACCGCATGTATGATGGACCATAAATGTACAACCTCGTAGCAGACCGATAGGAAGACCTCAGTCTCCTACCACGAGGACCCTAAGGAAAATAGAGAAAGTCTATTACAGTCTTTCCAGATACTTTAGAGATCTGGGCAATGACTCTCTTCATAGGGACAGGTCCCTTCCTTCGGAGGCAAGAAATGGTTCCCACGATCTTCTTAGTCAGAAGATCGGTGGCAGCGGAAAAAATGTGAACAACAGGTTAGGATGGACTCATGACTAGAGGAGGGGAATGCCTCTTGAAAATTTGGGTTGGGACGTGATCGGTCACTACAACCGGACAAAATAAAGATATGATTATCAGGCAATGTGATGTGAAACTCATCC